CACCCTTCTTTTTAAAAGGAGATCTAGTCCTCGCCTGTTCTGGAGCACTACTTCAGACAGGGAGGTTAAAGACTCTTTAAGTTTGGTATGGACTGTTCTATATTTTAAGTCTTTATCTATGGCCATTCAAGCTTCTAGTATAGGAGGGTCCTTGATGAGGGCTGCAGTCCCTGTCCTACCCCTGCTGCTACTAGACTAGGAGTGTCTAGGGTCAGAGATATTAATTTCTTTTATTCCTCAGTGATGAGGGGTGAGGGTCGTACTCACTTTCAAATGTGGCATCTGGGTAGTACATGATGGTGGGAACTAGCTGGACAAGAACACAATATTCTGGATGTTTTGTTGAAGGCTTGAGTCGTAGGCAGGGGTGAGTCCAGTATTACAAGCCACCCAACCGCCCTTTGGAGGAATTAAGTAGCTATTTTTTTTGTAGGGAGGGAGCTTTTAATTCATGGCAAAGACCTCGACGGTCATTAGGAACATTTCCTATACAGATGCCTCGGCCTGAAACTTGGTTAAGGTTAGTTTTCTGTCCCAGGTGCAGGATTGGGCTATTGGTGTTAGTGTTTCCAAGAAAAGCATCTTCATAATAGGTGGCTCTACTGTTAGGCAGAGCCAACAAGATTTAGTTAAGGTGGCGTCAGTGTTATTTAGGGAGTTAAAGCCACCTTGCACTAGTCTCACCGCCTGTGACTTGTACTGGATTTAGGGGGCCGGTTTACGAAAGCGGTGTGGGAGGAGGAGAGACGAGCGACAACGGGTACCTGAGGGCGGCGTGGTTAGGTCGACGGCTGGCGTTGCTCTTTTTGCCCTTTCTGGCTCGGCCACGCGGCGGATTGCAGGGTTAGGTAGGTATACAGTGTTGGGTAACAAGGTTTGCCCAATGGGCATGGGGTTATAAGCTTTTACTGCAATTCTATTTTAAAAGAGAACCCGGATCATACCCTGCCTGGTAGAGTCTTAACCCCCCAGGTAAATCCTGCAGCCCACCTGGGCCAGGCATTGCTCTCCCCGGGGTGGAAAGTGATGTTGAGGATAGAGCTAAGGGTAGTTGCTTGTACTTGGATGAGATCCCAGGAAGGGGGGTTTCGTATCCAGCGGGCGGTTCCTGTTGTTTCACATCCCCAGAAGGCACAATAATATTCAGAACCTGGTGCTCGATTACAGTCACCCTTTCACCAGTCTCGCTTATGCCCCAACTCCTGTCTTATTCTGTTGTCGGGACAAACATAGAAAGGGGTTGCCTTGAGGTGTCTTGGGGAGGGAGGGGTGAGAAGGAGTGGAGGCCCTTCTGGTGAGTGGGGGAGCCCATAAAGCGCAAAATCTTGGGGTGATGTAACAAAAGTCTGTCAGCCCAAAGGAGCAGACACTAGGAAAAAGAGAGGGCCACCAGGTACCCGGTGGGGCTATGGTGGTATTGGACTGCCATACTACTTGTCGCGTAGTGGGGGAGATTATTTTTCCAGGTCAGTCTTTGGGGCATGAGGGGAGTACTACTTATCGGCAACAGGTGTATCTGAGACACATGATGGCGAACCGAAGCTTGAGGGGTTGTCAGTTGTCTCCTACAGTCTATTCATCATTGTTGTCCTCGGGAGGCGCCCGCTTTGCGTGTGAGGCGTGAATCCAGGTCGCGATGCCGTCCACTTTGATGGCCGTCGGAGTCGTCAGCAGCACCAAGTGTGGTCCTTTCCACCTCGGCTCGAGGTTGCAGCTCGGTGTCGCCTGACGTAGACGAGATCACCAACCTGGACGGGTGGGGCACCTGTACTTCTCCCGGCTTGTAGAGGCGGCCAGGGGTGCCCAGATCTCCCTGTGAACAACTTCAAGGGCTTTTAACCTGGCGAGTAGGGAATGGGAATATTAGCATCAGTATCAGATGGCATGGACCATGGATCGGACATGAGAGGTGTGGGGCCCCAAACAAAACTTAAACGGTGTTATCTAAAGGGCCAGGCGTATTGCGAACGCGGAAGAGGGCGAAGGAAGGAGGACTGTCCAGTCTGCACGCCAGTCTCTAAGGATAATTTAGTCATGACCTCTTTTAGTTCTATTATTTTTTCTACCTGACCTGAGCTTTGGGGCCTGTAGGCACAATGCAATTTCCAATCCGCCCCTAGTATCTTGGCCCTCCCTGACTTACCTGAGCAATAAAAGCCGGGCCGTTATCGGATCCTATTACCTTAGGAATTCCAAACCTAGGAAAGATATCTTCTAGGATCTTCTTGGCCACACTTTGCCGTTTCTTTTTTGTGGGAAGGCTTCTACCCATCCTGAAAAGTGTCTATAAAAACTAAGAGATATTTATATCCATACGGCGGGCTTTACTCTGTAAAGTCCACTCCCATGCTCCCAGGCGTTGCCCCTGAGCGCTGCCGGGCCAACCTGGGATGGGTGAGAGTTAATTAGTTGACAAGCTTTACACTGGCGGACTACTTCTTCAGATAGGTGGCTAATCCCCCGGATATGATATTTTGATGACTGGCAAATGGGCGCAGGTGTTTGCCCCTAAATGGGTGAGACGATGCAGCTGCCTTAGGTATACTTTTGCTGTTTTTTCTGGTATAATAATTTTTCCTTCTAGGGTTTTCCATATCCCCTGCGGGTCCCTAGAGTATCTCGCCGGTTTTTTTGTTAGGCTCTCTTCTTCCTCTGAGGAATAACGAAGGAATTCCGGCGGGGCCACTGAGGGACTGATAGTGAGGACTAGTGTCTCTGACTGCAGGGCAGCCTGCCTCGCCTCCAAATCGGCCTTTCTATTCCCTTGGGCCACTTCAGAGGTCCCCTTTTGGTGTCCAGGGCAATGGATAATAGCTACCTCCTGGGGAGCATGGACAGCTTCGAGGAGGTGCAAGATCTCTTGCTTGTTTTTAATTTCTCGGCCTGCAGAGGTGAGGAGGCCCCTCTGGCGGTATATGGCTCCATGGATATGGGCTGTAGCAAAGGCGTAACGGCTGTCTGTGTAAATGTTAGCCTTTTTACCTTCCGCCAGTCTCAGGGCCTGGGTCAAAGCAATCAGTTCAGCTTTCTGGGCGGAGGTTCCCTCGGGCAAGCTGCTAGCCCATATAACCTTGTCTTTACTGACCACCGCTGCCCCCGCGACCCTTTTACCTTCATGTAGGTAGCTGCTCCCATCCGTATACCAGGTGTAATGTGGGTCGGGTAACGGCTCGTCCCGGAGGTCTCTTCTGGGCCCCGTCTCCTCCGCCAGAATGTCATGGCAGGAGTGAAGAACTGCTCCACTCTCCGGGTGCACCTCCGGCAGCAGGGTAGCTGGGTTGAGAGTTACTGGAGCCCCGAAAAGGACTCGATCATCGTCCAGCAACAAGCTCTGGTAGTGAGTCAGCCGAGCATTTGACATCCACCGCTCGGGGGGTTGCCGGATGATGCTTTCTAGCACATGTGGGGCTATAACTGTTAGTTTTTGCCCCAGGGTGAGTTTATCTGCATCTTTTACAAGCAAGGCAGTGGCTGCTATGGCCCTTAAACAAGCCGGCCATCCCCTAGCCACTGGGTCTAATTTTTTGGACAGGTAAGCTACTGGCCTTTTCTAAGGCCCCAGGGTTTGAGTCAATACTCCTCGAGCAACCCCCTTCTTCTCATCTACGAAGAGAGTAAAGGGTTTGGATACATCCGGCAAAGTAAGAGCCGGTGCAGAGAGAAGGGCTCTTTTGATGTCATCAAACGCCTTCTGTTGAGTCTCTCCCCACTCAAAGGGGTTTCCCTGTTTTGTCAGGGTGTATAGAGGCTCGGCCAGCGTTGCAAACCCTGGGATCCACAGGCGACAGAAACCTGCGGTTCCCAAGAATTCACGTACCTGGCGGGGGGAGCGGGGTCTTAGAATTTGAGTGACCGTTTTCTTGCGGGCCTCTGTGAGCCATCTCTGACCCCCTTTTAGTACATACCCCAAGTAAGTCACCGCCTGCTGGCATAGTTGAGCCTTTTTGGCCGATGCTCGGTACCCTAAGCGGGAGAGCTCTACAAGTAAGTCCTGTGTACCTGCTTTGCAGTCTTCTTCCGTGGCTCCCGCTAGGAGAAGGTCATCTACGTACTGGAGAAGAGTAATCTGCGGGTGCTCAGCTCGGAAGGCGGCTAAGTCTTGATGGAGGGCTTCATCGAAGATGGTGGGGGAGTTCTTGAACCCCTGAGGGAGTCGAGTCCATGTTAATTGTCCCGTAGCCCCAGAGTCCGAGTCTCTCCATTCGAAAGCAAAGAATTTTTGACTTTCTGGATGCAGTCGCAAGCAGAAAAAAGCATCTTTTAAGTCTAAGACCGAGTACCACACATGGGACGGAGGGATGGAACTTAGCAAGTTATAAGGGTTGGGGACCGTGGGGTGAATGTCTTGGACCCGCTTGTTAACTTCTCTAAGATCTTGCACGGGCCTATAGTCATTTGTTCCTGGCTTTCGGACGGGAAGGAGCGGGGTGTTCCAGGGGGAGTGACACTTGATCAAAATCCCCATGTGCAGCAAGCGGTGGATATGTGGTTTAATCCCCTCCCAGGCCTCTTTCGCCATAGGGTATTGCCGCACGGCAACTGGGGTTGCGGTAGATTTTAATTCTACCACCACTGGGGGCTGTTCGTGGGCAAGACCCATTCCCGCGGTTTCTGCCCAGGCTTCGGGGTACAGCCGCAGCCACTCACTATCTACTATTTGCTTGTCTTTTGCACTGGCCTTGAACAGCCGGTGCTCATCTTCCAATCGGAGAGTCAACAGGGTAACTTTTTCATGCTGGGTGAGGGTTGGTCCTTTGGGAGTAAAAGTGATTTGGGCTCCCATTTTAGTTAATAAATCTCTTCCTAGGAGGGGAGCAGGACACTGGGGAATTATTAGGAAGGAGTGAGTCACTTTTCCTGTTCCCAGGTCCACAGTCCGACTAGTGGTCCATGAGTACCGCTCCTGGCCCGTGGCCCCCATCACCCAAGAAGTCCTTTTGGAGAGCGGTCCTAATGGCTTTCGTAGGACCGAAAATTGGGCTCCCGTATCGACTAGGAAATCAACGGGTCTCCCCTCCACATTGAGAGTTATCCTGGGCTCAGGGAGGGGGGCCGAGTCCTGACTATCTCATTCACTATCTTCCTGGAGGGCTAGGACCTTGTTTTTGTTTTGCAGTTTAGGGCAGTCTTTCTTCCAATGTCCGTCCTCCTTGCAAAAAGCACATTGGGTTGGTCTTAACGGTGGCCTGGTACCTGAGCTGCCTGTTTTACCCTTTTCTCTACGTGGGGACTCATTGTCACCCACAGCGGCAGCCAAGATACGCGTCAGCCGTTTTTCTTGCCTTCTTTCTCTTTTATCCTCCCTGGCCTCTCTTTCCCTTTCCTTTCTTTGTTCTTTCTCTTCCTCTGTCTCTCTCTTATGATATACTTTTTCTGCTTCCTTAACTAAATCTTGGAGAGTAAAATCCTGTAATCCTTCTAATCTTTGGAGTTTCTTTTTGATATCTAGGGCCGATTGGCCTATGAAAGCCATGGCTACTGAGGCTCTCTGCCCTTCTGAGGTCGGGTCAAAAGGAGTATACCGCCTGAACGCTTCCATCAGTCGTTCAAGGAAGACAGAGGGAGGTTCAGTCGGTCCCTGAAGAATTTCTCTTACCTTAGCCAAATTGGTGGGGCGTCTCGCAGCCCCTCTGAGGCCTGCCACTAGAGTCTGGCGGTAGACAGTCAGTCGCTCCCTACCTTCTGCCGTGTTGAAGTCCCAATTAGGTCGGGTCAAAGGGAAAGCGGCATCCATCAACGGAGGGAGTTGGGTCGGGCGCCCGTCTGGCCCGGGGACATTCTTCCGCGCTTCCAAAATGATCCGCTCCCTCTCTTCAGTAGTGAAAAGAGTCTGGAGCAACTGCTGACAGTCGTCCCAGGTGGGTTGGTGGGAAAACATCAGAGACTCAACTAATCCGGTCAGGCGCTGGGGGTCCTCAGAGAAAGGAGGATGATTAGTTTTCCAATTATAGAGATCAGCTGTGGAAAAGGGCCAATACTGGAGGAGCTGGATGGGGGCTGTATCATCCTCTAATCCCGGCCCAGGGTTGGGAACCGGCACTGGGCGCAGGGGGCAGGTGACAGTGGAATCTGGAGATAAACCTCTCCTACTCCTAGTACCCTGAGCCGGACCCGCAACCATAGGGGCCGTGGGCTGGGCTGTCCCTGGCCCTGGCTGGGCCACCTGCGCCTGCTGCTGGGGGACATAGGGTGGGGGAGACTCGAGAAGGAGAGATTCTGCCTGGGGATCAGTTAGGGGTAGAGGTCGCCGCACTGGATCTGATGGAGCCGTCTGGGCTACCAGGGCGAGAGGAGGTTGTAGCACTGGCACTTTTACCCAAGAAGGAGGGTTTTGGGCGAGGTCTTGCCAGACAATGATATAGGGACCTTGATTCGGGTGTCCTTGGGGGTGCGGTGCAAAGATCTTCTTTTTCACTGCAGAAATAACAGAAAGGTTAAAAGTTCCATCTGAGGGCCACCCCACACTGAGGGAGGGCCACTCAGAGGCACAAAACGTTTGCCAGGGGCCCTTCCGGATGATGACGGACAGGTCATGGGCCCGATCTCGGACCTCTTTCCAATGTGCCAGAGTGAGAGAGAGAGGAGTGCTCTTCCCTTGGCCCATAATTCCTGGATGAGTAAAAAGTATAATTAAAGAGAAAAGACCGACAACACAGACAACAGACAAACACCGAAGCCACTTGCTTCTGCACACAAATACTGACAAAGGACGATATCCTACCCTAGGAGTATCGTGCCCAATCCTGCAACGACCTGCAGGCAAACAACTGGAGTCGACCAAAGCCACCTGGTCACTCCTAATCCCTGGAGCGTCCTCCAGGGCGACAGTTTTTCTGGCCAAGAACCCTATCTTGGTCCAGAGGAACTTCCTCCTTACGGAGTTAGTACCCTGTCGTTCCAAATTCAAACTTCAAAATTGACACATCACATACAACACAGAGACAAATATAAAGGACGACTCCGGAGTCTGCCTACCTCCAAGCCTGGTGCCACCGGTCTTTTTAAGAGGGGTCGCCTCTCCGATCCCGGACGAGCCCCCAAAATGTTGGGCCGTAGGAATGTACAGCCCGTTTGGGAGAGAGAGACGACCGCCCAAAAAGACTCAGAGTCCAGAGGCTTGATGCAAAAGAGCAGGAGGGTTTTTTTTATTTCCAGCGCTGGGGCGTACAACATCACCCAGCTAGGGGAGCTGCTGCGCCACTTTCAAGCTTGGGGGGGTTTTTATAAGCTAAAACCACAGCCGGTGGTTAGGGAGTTTAGGGTGGGGAAATTCTACTGGTCTTGTCTTGTATAACTGGTTGCACTTAGTTCTGGGAACTTGTAACAGCTATAACAGCTATTTCCTGGAAGGGCGGAAGGGGTGTGGGGTCTTGGTTTTCTAAGAGCAAGCGTGGTTACAGAAGCAGAGAGCTGGTTAGGCTAGTTTGGGGTCTTACAAAAGCAACAAGGCCCAAGCCAGAGATCCCTGTATCCAGTGGAATTAATTCATTTTATAAATATTTATTGAGCACCAACTATATTTTAGGCACTATTCAATCTAAGCAATGGAAATGAAACTACGAATAAGACAAACGTGATCTTTCATGGTGCTTATGTTCTTGTGGAAATAAGAAACATTCTCCCGAGCCAATCACCAGGTCCTGGCAGTTCTACTTCATAAATGATTCTGAAGTCTACCAGTACCGCTTCACTCCACTGCCAGTCCTTTGGTTCAGGCTCTCATTGTCCTCTTTCATTCTTTCATCCATCCATCATGTCAGCAAATATTTATTGGATACCTACAATGTTCCAGTGGTGACCAAAACAGACAAGTCCTGTTTTCCTAGACCTTGGAGTCTAGTTGGGGGAGACATTTTTGAGCAGATCACTTCATTAACATTTTAGATACTCTCAGATAAAAGTTTGTTTAGGGCACCTTAAATACACAAAGGAGAGCAGGGTCAATTCTGCCAGGTCAATTGATGACCAGGAATGGTTTGCCATGAGCTGAGTCTTGACAGATGAGGAAGTATCCTCCAGGTGGACAGGGAAGTGGGCTTGCCAAGTCCAGGGAGCAGGATGGGCAAGGGGGGAAGGGCACAGTCTGGGGTATCCGGGAAAATGTCAGCACTTTCATGTGGCTGAAAATTAAGGTAGATGATGAACATGATCACAGTCATGGAAAAGACTGAGCTAGATCTCTGCTGTTTGACCTACAGGGATTTCTGGCAGGGACTGCTGAGTGGAGAAATCAAGGTGCAGAAAAATATACACAATGTAATTTTGTTTTTGCAAAATAGTGACCAACTGCCCTCAATGTATTTATGTATGTGTGTACACACACCTGCTTGCATATGCACATGTAATTGAAAGTGATTTTTTTTATCTGGGCATGTAAAAAACTATGGAAGGATACAATGTAAGTTGTTGATGTGTATTATGGGAGATGAGACAAAAGTGGGAGGAGGTAAAAGGAGGGAGGTGGATAGTGAAGCAAAAAAGGAAAGAAATGTAAAATGAATAAATAATGCCATGGATTTATGAATGAATGAATGAATGAGTGGAGAACAGATTGTAATGGCAGGAATTGATGAGTCCAGAAGATATGGTTGAGTCCAGCCTGGGTGGGAGTGGCATGGTAGCAATAGCCTAGCCATAAATCCAAGGGCCCTTGCCAGAGTCATGGATCCTAAGGTTAGTGATAAACCCAGGCTCCTCCCACAAAACTGAGGAAAGCCCACACTTACAAGCACTTCTTATCACTAACCAACAGGAGTCAGTATTGTGTAACAGCTTGCAAATATAGGATTTGCTTTGGGGCCACTTGGGGTTAGTATCCTAGCTCTAGCCCCTTATTAGCTGGGTGATCTTGGGCAAAATATTTAATATCTCAGTGCCTGCCTCCATGTCTTCATTTGTAAAATGGAGATGGTAATGGCACATCCCTGGTGGGTAATAATGATGGTTAAATGAGTAACTATATGTACATCTTTTAGGACACTGTCTGACATATAGTGAGTGCTCCATAAATGTCGTCTAATAGCAATAGGAATAATAACCATTTCATAGTTGAGATTCTTCCAACTCTGAAGAATAATTAGCACTTTACATTGTAATTAGGCTTAGAAAAAAGGTAAGGAAAATTGCATGTGCTCAATGTCTATGGTGTTCCAAGTCATAGGGATACTTTTCCTCAGTTGGTGTTGTATCTGCTGTGTAGGTGTGAGCAGTGAGGCTCAGTGAGGAGAAGTGACTGAGCTGGGCTCACACAGCCAGCAAGTGGCAGAGCTGCAATTGAATTCTAGCTTATCTCATTCCAAGGCCTCCATTGAGCAACTTGATATACATAGAAATTATGCCTCACATTCTTAAGTACAGCTCTTTAGAGTCAAGTTCAACATTAACGATAACAAGGAAACTTGAGCCTTGGGAAACTAAATGCCCATTGGGTGTTGGGTGCCCCCCTCAGGGATTTACTATACCCCCAGTAGCCTCTTTGGGGTCTTGGATCTGAATTGAAGCTATGGCCACCTTCTTCAGAAATCTCCACCCAGGCACATGCATACAAATTTGTGTGGACTGTTTGGGGGGATCTGCAGGTCTCTTGAAGCCTCTCCAATGGCCCCCAGTCTAAAAACTGCTGCTGGCTGGGGAAAGGAAAGCCTCACAGCTCTAGAGGCAGTTTTCACCCCTTCCCCTTTCTGCCTTCTTCTTTCTTTTCCATATTCCTGCAGCCCAGTATTTCAGAGAGGGGCATTTGGGAGAGCCAAACCCATTAGTCGATGTATGTAGAAATCCAAGCCCAAAGGTGGGAAATTCTTTATGCTGGTGCTACAACTGAACTGTAGCATGAGAGGAGGGTGAGGAGAGCTCCCATCCATGCAGAAATCCCTGGTGGTCTGCTGTTTTACCTGCACAAGCTCATTTAATCCTCATTATAATCTGAGTTCCAATCCAGCTCTTCCAATTTACTAGCTATGTGGGTAAATTGCCAAATATTCTCAGGCCTCAATTTCTTCAACTGTAATTAGAGGAGAATTCACAGGGTCCTTGGGAGAGTTAAGAGCTTGTGCCTGTGCCTGGGATATGTGGGGCCTAGGGAGGTGATTTCCTGCTTTCTTCCCCACTGTTCCCCTTGTATAGGGCAGTATGTGGCCACCAACAAAGGGAATACATCCTACATCCCAGCCTACAGTGGAAGGGGAGTATCCAATTTTTGCCCAGCAACAGGGATACAAACATTTCTGGACACCCACAATTGGCAGGGCCTGCCTTCCAGAGCTGTATCTTGACAGAGAAGTATGTAGAATAGTGATATGGGGACAGAAGGGCACAGGTCCCAGAAAGACTCAGGGAAAGGGTTATGAGCCCCCTCCAAAAAATCAGCGGTTCTGTGCTCCAGCTGGTAAAGCTGATCACAAGCTTGGACTGCCCTGGAGGTGCTTTCCACCACTGGCCCAACCTTTGCTGAACCACCAAGGAGACGTCAGGTCCTGTGATCATCTACTTTCTACTCAGTCCTGGATTACCCAGCTGTTTATTAACCCCCTCCCTTGCAGCTTAGGGAAAGAGCACAGAACCAAGGGAGTACGGGATTGTGACTCAGACAATCTCTTTGTTGAGCAATTGTTTGTGGTGGCTGCTGCCATGGTCATGCCCCTTGTGTCTAGGTGCCATGATGAATGAGTTGACAGGAGTAGGGGTGAGGTGGCTCCATCTGTTCTTTGGCTAGGCCACTGTGGAGATGAAGACACCAGGAGTGAAGGAGTTGCTGCCAGCTCATGACAAAAGCAGAGCCTCCCCTCACAACCACCACTAACACTATGGGCCCCACACACTGTTCTCTGCCAGGGCTTACTCTACCGCCTCAGCAGGACTGCTGGATCAGCCTCCTTGGTTCTCCCCCTCTCATATCCGGCACTGAAGTGAAAGCTCTCTGGGAATCTAAGCTCCAAGCTAGAGGAGGTCATTTTAAAATAACCTACGGAAGTTCTTTGAAGACACTGCTGTCATGGCAGATAAAGGAAACTCAGGGGCTACAGTATGCTTAGATTTTTAAAAAGCATCTGACAGTGTTCAGCATCTGAGATGAATGGGAGAGATAGAGGATAATGGGAGAGGGTGTTAGATGGTGTGAGGGTTGAATTAAAAATAGCACTTGGTCTTTTTGTAAGCATCTCTTTGAAGAGTCTCTCCTATGAAATGCCATTGGCTACGCCCAGTTTCTCTCAAGCCAGAATACTTCATGAGCCTAATTATTGCCAACAGGCTTTCAGCCCCCTAATTCTGGCTGCTCCCTGGGTAGAATATTTTGGACTTCCAGCTAGGATTTCCCCCTACACATGGCTCATTTTTCATGTTGTTCTTTGCCTTTGCTATTTAATACAGTAGCCCTACCAGGAATTCCATATGATATCAAGTCCTAGTTTCCAATAACCCTTTTCTTCCTCAAGACTCTTTTAGCATATAATTAACACACACAAACCAATGCTCACTGTGGCTGGCCAGGATTCTCTGAAGAAGCCCCTCATGTGACTGCACTCTCTACCCTAGTCTCCCCGATTTGAGAAGTATTGTGATAGCTGAATAAGTACTGAGCTGCTGGGCAGGAGACCAGTGTCTGAGTTGTGGCTCTCTCATTTATTAGCTGTGTGGCCTGCAACAAGCCACTTTCCTTCTCTAGACCTAGTTTCCTCATCTGTGGAGTGATGACTTCTGCCGTTCCTTTTCACTCTGAATCTCTGGGTTCCCATACTAGTATTTCTCTCTGGACCTACCTGCCTATGAAATCACCTGGGGGTAAAAACTTGCAGATTCCCAGGGCCCTCCCCAGACTACTGAATCAAAAATCTCAGGGGATGGAAGTTGAGGATCTATCTGCCTAACAAGCTGCCAGGTGATTCTTAAGCATTACAGAATCTCAAAACCACTTTTCCCTCATGTCAATTAAGCAGTGTGTTTCAACTTTGCGGGTAAAGAAATATTTTCTTTTCTTTTCTTTTCTTTTCTTTTCTTTTCTTTTCTTTTCTTTTCTTTTCTTTTCTTTTCTTTTCTTTTCTTATGGCTCTCAAATCTACCTTTTATAATATCAGAATATTACAGGGGTACAAATGTTTTGGTTGCATGATTTGCTTTTGTGCAGTTTTATTCAAAGTTGTAAGTGTGCCCAACACCAAGATAGCATGTATTGTGTACC